GGGGGGGGTTGCAGTTGCCAACCATACAAAGTGACTCTGAAGTGCTGAAAAGGTTGCCAAGTTGGACAAGGTCAACATCTTTACACACACACACACACACACGCACGCACTCACGTTTTGATTGCCTTTCAAAGCATACTTCTGCTGATTGTGTAGTGAATGTGTACAACCAGGACTGGAAAGTGTTTTGACATAACAATAATATGTCTCCCAGTGTCTTTGGCGCCAGTGCTAGGTGACTCTGTTCTGGCAGAGTCATCCAAACCAAAACTGCACCGCAAACGCAAGTGTTCCTTGAATGTTCATCACTCCAAAAATTCGGAAAAGTCACAGAGAACACACGTACAAACTCGGTTGTCGATATTCTACAGGATTCTATTCCGTAGTAAGCGTCGTAGTAGTAGTAGTAGTAGTAGCAGTAGTGGCAGTAGTAGTAGTGGCATGCACTACTAGTAGTGGCAGTACTATTGGTGGTAGTAGTAGTAGTAGTACAGGTAGTGGTGGTGGTAGTAGAAGTAGTAGTAGTAGCACTAGTACTATAGTAGTGGGAGTAGTCAGCGTCGTCGTAGTAGTAGTAGTAGTACTACTACTACTACTTATCCGATGTATGATACAGAGGCATCGGTCTTGGGTTTCCCTCATCGGTTTTCAATGTATGCTCAATGGAAGACCTCGGTCTTGGGTTTCCCTCATCGGTTTTCAATGTATGCTCAGTGTAAGACCGACCAACCTAAAGCGTTTGGTGACGACATGTTCGGACAGTGCTCAAATGTCAAGTGTACAAGCGACCATGATTTCAAGTGCACAAGCGACCCAAATTTCAAGTGTACAAGCGACAGCTCGCCCCACCTGTCATGCCTTTTGCTTCCTCGATGAAACGTGTCCCAGGAATACACTCCCTGAAACAATCATGCACTTTCATGTTTTTTGGACGGAGGGTAAATATTGATAATATATCATATCCCTCTCAAGGTGGGGTCATTTGCCTCCTTAACTGGAGTAAAATTTATGCGTGCGAAAGGGAGGGTGCACAGCGTGTTTGCCCAGGCTAGATCAGGGAGCTAGCCCTAGTTATGACATCAACATCCCAACCAGACAGACTAGTTGTGGAACATGTGAAAAAAGCCGACCAGAAAGTGGTCATGCATGAATGCGCATATTCATATTCCCGGATTCTATCTCGTTGCAGACTATGAGAATGAAAAATCCTTATGAACACCCGACTCAGGAATATCAGTTCAGTGACGGTGGAATCCTGCGAAGAGGTCAATAATTGTGAGCAATCCTCCGAGAAGGCCACGGTATTCACCAAAGCGTCATGTCCTCGTCACAGCGAATTCGACCAGGATCGTGAGAATCACATGATTTTCACTGCAAAACGTGAATACTATTCTTGGAGGCAACTGTCCTCGTTGTGTAACAAACCTAACAGAAAATATTTTAGGAGAGCTTCATTAGTTTACTCAAACTGCTTAATTATGTTCATTTATGTTCATAGTTCCACAAACTATCGCTTTACCATTGGATTCTCAAGCTGCCTTGGTGGACTGTTTTAGAACTGCTAGGGGCGAACAATGGAGAACAATCTCAGGAAGGAACAAATGGAGAAAACAATGTTAAGAAACCAGTCTGGGCCATGCATTTTTGCTCAAGCGGACGATCGCAAAGTCCCAAGTAGGTACACGACCATGATGGAAACAATTTTCCCGAATCACTGACTCTTATTTAAAAGAAAGAGGAGGTCACAACATCTCAAAGACCAATCGACGCATCTTCACAGTAAAGCATGATAGGGCGGTGGGGTTTGGTTTCATGGAGGGACATTGGATTTGAAGGGATATGATATGATATGATATGATATGATATGATATGATATATATATACAATATAATATGCAAATGTACTAGTATAAAGGAAAATAATGTTGATCACAACCGAATGATCTGATCCTCTCCATCTTCAAGATTTCCCCTGCTTAGTGGGTTAATTGGTTTGGGTCGCAACCTATGTCCCTTTAAATCACCTAAGTCTCCACAGAAGGTGTGTAGGCATTCGCCTCGCAAGACACTCCACACCTTTGCCACGCCATCAAAGGCGCCGGTGGCCACATAGGCTGCGTCGGGCGAAAAGTTGGCGCAACGAATGAGGTTCCGGTGCCCATTCCTGGCCACGGCTCTTTTGGTGTGAGACATATGTTGATGGACATACATGATGTGATGCATCTTTGTGCAACACCTGGGGAGCCAAAAAATACTATTGTCCTGTCCTGTATAACAGGTGTGCATATGTATATTGTCCAAAAAGTAAGACATGCAAGGGAGAAGTGAAGGTGACCTAGCACGATTGTGTACCCGAACTTAGCCTTGGGTGCCTTGGTCGCTCGGCTTGTAAGCTACCCTGGGTCTGCCGGGAAAAGCAGCCTTAAGCAAGGTGGCAGCACCTGTAAGGGGCAAGGCGTTCAAGTGTTTGTCGAAAGCTATTGTCTCTTGTCACTGTTCATTTTCCAACGGCTTTGATGCTTTTAATTGCATTGAGTATATGTTGTTTTTGAAGAGGTCCAAGTAAGTGCTGTAAGGATTGCTCCGAAGGTGCGCTTTTAGGTGTTTCGCTACAGCTTTGACGACATTTGCATAGAGTATCATAGAGTCCTTTTCTTTTTGCCCAAAGCTTCGGAGGCATTCGGTCCAAGTCATTTCCGCAAGTTCATCTACCATGCTCAGCTCACCTGTTCGCAAGCTCGGCCCAGATCCTACAGGCTTTGCTTGCGGGTCTGCCAGAGCCGGGAGTATGTGCTGAAGCATCACATTCTCATTCAGAGATCTCTTGCGCCCTGTATACGTGCATGCTACGACACACGCGTGCAAGCACAATAAGTTCACGTGTGTGCGCGAGTAAAAGGCAGTACGCACGACTTCCTGCCAAGACGCGTCAGCGAAGAGATTTTAGTCACGTCACGTGCGCTCAAAAAGGACATGAATATCCCAGCCCACCCTCCTCCCCTCCTCCCCACGTGCCATGGCATGTTGACCAAAAGCCTGTCAAACGCACGGCCCCTTCAGACGCACGGCCCCGCTGCCACCTTAACAACATAGTGGATCCATGTGGATCCTATGAGCTGAAATGTGCCGAAGACTGATCATCAATGAAAACACTACACGACAGCTGGCAACATCGAAGAAAAAGAGTAGACATATGGAGCATGACCAAGACTCAGGATGTGAATTCTCTCACCTTTATGTAAGCTCCAAATTCTGGCAGCACAGTCCAGAAATGCTGCCAAAACGAAAGCACCATCTGGCGAATAGCTGGCGCAATTCACCAGGTGCCCCTCATCCACTAAGGTCTGTGAGCACACGCCTGCCGCCGCGTCCCAAGATTGCACCAGCCCATCTCGAGCAACAGTCACTACAAAGGCCGCGTCCGGCGAAAAGACGGCAAACTCCAAAGGCATACTTCCAGACCCACCGCAGGAGAGGGTCCGATAGCACTGGCCATTGAAGGCACTCCAAATGCGGGCGTCACCATCGAAGGAGCTGGTCAAAATCAAAGCGCCATCCCAAGAGAATAAGGCCGAATTCACCACTGCACTGTGACCCATCAGGACCTTCAGGGAAATGTATATATATTTATATAAAAACAATCAAGTTAAATAATAGTCTGACAGCTGCTTCAATGTGATCTATATTGATCTATCTAGTGTCCATTTTAGATCATCAGATCTTGGCGGAAACCTTGAAACTTGTCTTGAAAGAAACCAACATTAAAAATTGATCTATTTGTTCGTTGACAAACTCAGAGGTTCTTTGTGTTCATTGGCATGTTCCACTTCTTTCAACACAAGAACGACAAGAACGATCCACATTCCGCTCATGTCGCTTCGCCCCTGCCGCTCCTCTAAGCAATCGCCGTGCTGGACGTCCCAGAGACGGGCGGTGTGATCGTCCGATGAGGTCACGAGCATGTGGGAGTCCGGCGAAAACGACACCGAGTTCAAATCGCTGGTGTGACCCCGCAGGACCTCACTGCAAGCGGTGGGAGGAAGGTGGGTGGGCTCTTTTTCTCGGAGGGAGATAGAGGTTTGGTACAGGAAAAAGGACTCCCAAGAGTTTTTGCATAGTTGAGCAATGCTGCTGCTCATATATGTTACTCATACTCGGAGACATCATCCCAGGTACCAGTATTGATAGCCAAAACAGCTCTAAGGAATTCTATTATTCCTAAGGACATTCGCTTCGGTTGGGTCCCAAAACAGGATCTGCTGAATCAAGGGCCAGCCGCGTGAACGCATTGTCCAGTTGAGAGTTTCCACAGCCGGGCCAGTGAATCAAAGGACACTGTAACCACCCAAGTGCCATCCGAAGAGAACTTCACTTTGTGAACATCACTTCCATGACCTGAGTGCAGGAGCTACGAGCTGGGCAAGCGATGAGTAAAGGTCTACATGTTACCAATGTTGCTGTGTGTATATGTTTGTAGAATTTATATATAGATGTCTACATACGTGACTGATTAGTATTGACTATTGATTTGTATATTATTCATTTTATGTAGATATCCTGTTGGTGTTTGTCACTGCCATCTAAATGACTCTAAAGACATATCGTTTGTGTTTACACTACGCATGGTTGGACAAAGGCACCTGACAATGTTTGGACACATTCACCATCAAGCCAGTTCCACACCTTCGCAGAGCAATCCGCAGATGCCGTCACCACCAGTGAAACATTTCGCACGACAAGCGTAAGTTCCAGCTCATCCTGATCCTTTGCCAGCTCTGAGATTTCTGTGTCAGACTCCAGAACCTTGTCATGTTGCAGGAGGGCTTGTCGATAGACTTGTAATCCGAGGCGTTTTTGTAGCTCTTGATGAATCGATTGAACTGTGTAGGACGATCGACCGTCCGCCCTGAACTTAATGACACGATCTCCGCTGAGCGAAATAATCGAGATTACCAACTCATTGTGATCCATTGGCAAACCCAATCCCAAAAAATGCTGGCTTGGGCTTCAAACGGCAGCCCTCGTACAAGACAGTCGTTTCACAGCCGAAGCCTCCAACCTTTTGCTGTTTAAAAAGCTACCTGACTACTTGCGATGGCCAACACCTACTAGCATCCTTGTTACTAGTAGTTAGGGTTTGTCCGGCAATGCCGTACATGTCCATTGGTTTTCGGCGGACCGCAGTTGCCGGTGTGGCCTCGGAGTGGATTGCATCCTGCGAGGTCGGCCAACCCAATGACCCCCGGTCACGCGTGGAAAAACAAAATACAGCAAGGGCAGCAGGATACACCTAATGGACTACATAATGGTCTGAGATGGTCAGAGCATTCGTTCCAAGAGCTGATAGCAATCCCAAATGTGCGCCTGGGATAGATTGTCGGTCTTTGCAGCATTCTCTTTGGCTGCATGCCTGGTGAGACTGGTGAGATAAAGAAGAGCCAAGAAAGCCAAGCAAGAACCACCGAACTTGAACCTACCGCGCACAACAATTCATCAAAACCCCCTCAATATATGTATGTGTGTATGTGTGTATGTGTATGTGTGTATGTGTGTATGTGTGTATGTGTGTATGTGTGTATGTATGTATGTATGTATGTATGTATGTATGTATGT